AAATAAGAGTCTCGGAAATTTTAACAATTCTAACATTGCTATAGTGTCCAAGTGCAAGGTATATTCTGAGACTCAAGGCAAGCACCTAGCCATGAACCCTTGCAAAAATCGAAAAGAAAGTTTAACACTGCCGATGTATGTTGGCATGGGTAAACATTTCTGTTCCAAAACAGAAGAATGGAAGGATATAAATAAATAAATCAAGGGAAGATAAAAACCAGAAAAGCAAACATTAAGTTCTGAAACATACCAGGCATGTCGCACAAGTTGTTGGGACAAGATACTCACCCCAAAGCGCCCTTACAGCCCAGCCAGTTGCTGCCCTCATAGCTTCTCTTTAAGGTGTGGCTTTGCCCACTGCCTGCGTCTTTTCTCAGCGATGTTCCATGTTCCTACCCTTTTCACCTTTTAAAAGTTTCCACTGCACATTTGCTTTTGCTTAGACAGTTTCTCATACCCCTCTCAGGGGCGCAAAGCCAGACTTCCGAGGACTTCTTCTGAAATCTGGATGAAGCCTCAGGGACTCCCCAACTTTAGCATTCTGCTTGCTTAAAAGTTTTTTTTCTTTTCTTTTTTTTTTTTTTTTTTTTTTTTGGTACTGGGGACCAAACTCAGGCCCCTGCACTTGTGAAACAGCAGCAAAACCACTGAGCTGAATCCCAGGCTCTGCTTGCAAGTTAAAAGATGAAATAAACCTGATAAACATCTCTCCTCATGGGCCTAATTCTTAGTGATGAAGGAAAGTGACACATAAGTAAACAAATAAAATATTTATTACGATACCCACTCAAAAACATGTATACAAATATTACATCACCAATGTTCATAACAACAAAAAGTAAATGAAAGCCAAATGAGCATTACCCAATGCACAAAGAAATAAAATTATGTATACAAATATATATGATATTCTTTACGAATAAAATTTGTTTTCAAACATGAGTAAATAATCCAGTTTAAAAAGACTTCACCATTTAAATACCTTATCTCTAGAAAAAAATTTTACCATATATCTAGAAAATTTAAATTTATAGGGACTAAGCCAGACTAATGGTTAACTAGGAATGGGAAGAAAGAGTGGACAGTATCTCTTAATAAAGAGGGTTTTGTTTTTTTGGGGGGGAGTTCAGATAGAGTTTCACTATGCATAGTAGTACTCAGTAAGTAGCTCAGGCTGGTCTCAAACTCGCAGCACTCCTCCTGTCTCAGCCTCTTGAGTGCTGGGATTAAAGGCACATGCCACCTCACCTGGCTAAAGAGAGTTTTCGAAATGTTCTAAAATTGTGTTGTAGAGATAGATTGAAAAACTCAGTAAAAATACCAATTACTCCGACGTATATCGCTTAGCTGAGTAAACCTTATGGTATATGAATAAAGCTGTTAAATGAATAAGTATAAATAAGATATATTGTATATCATATGATGGTGAATGCTCTAGAAAACTGTAAGATAAGAAAGGAGAAAAGGCAGTAGGACAGGATGAGTTCTTGAGAAAAAAATGCCCTATGAAGGCGGGATTGGAAATAAAAAGGCCCTGGTCCTAGAGTTTGTTTAAGGAATAGAAGTAACTGTGATGGTGGAATAAAGGATGCAAACAGTAATGACCATAACTATGAAGGACCTCATAGACTGGGGTAGTTCTTAGCTTTAGAGGAGCTTTGAATAGAATATGACACTAACCTTTTTATATTTTGAAACATTTCTTTTTTGTTTTAATGTAATACATGTGGAGAGAGAAATAAAGAAAATATAAAAATGTACTCTTCTTACTTGTATGAAAAAAATGAAAGAAACTTTCATAACAAAATGAAGAGAATAATAATATACACCACAATCTTAAAAGAATGGCCAAAATCTTACTGAGGGTACAAGTTACAGACCAAAAGGACCCTTTGTACTTTGCAAAGAACTCTTTGGCCACTCAATAGACACCAGACTGGGGTGCAAAGGAAGAATTGTGAAGAATATTCGGGGGGGATTTCAATAAGTCAAAGGAAATATGGTACCTTGAGAAAGGTTGTGACATAAGATAAAATAATTCCTATCTGAAATAGATATATTCAAAGAAGAATAAATAGGAATTACTGGAAGAAAATGCATCTACTTTTGATGGTAAATAGTAATTTGTCCTCTCTTGAATATTTCCAATTGAATTAGACATTCCTTTTTTCTAAAGTAGTTTCTAGATTGCTTAGCTTGGTATTTGCTAAAAAATACTAGCGATAACTTCACATGCCAAATTCCTTCTTAAGTAAAATCAAGGTGACAAAATGAGTGCATTTAAAACTGTGTACTATATGAATGATCTTTGGAAATCTTTTTGGAAAAATCACAATGAACTCAGGGAATATTTTATTTTGCCTCTGTTGAACATGAAATATTTTTACATCCATTTAGGAATCATGTTGATCAAATTACTTATTTAATGGAAGACTAAAGCACTAAGCAAAGCAAGATCCTAGTGAAAAAGAATTATGAAAATATTGAGTCTATATTTTTCATTTATGTCTCCCATATCATAGTTTCTCTGGTACATTTGCACAATCATTAAAATAATGTGTATATCTATATTATCAAGAATGTTTCTCTTACTGTTTTAGGTAAGTATATATATTTATATAAACATACGTTTAACAATTTTATTATGCAATCCATTTAACTTTACTTTTTAACAATTGTACATACTAAAGATTTTAAAAAGTTTCTGTTCTTGACCAAGTTGTATGAGCCACTTTCCAGGATGGAATGTCCACTGCATTAGCTGGTTATAATTCATGAAATTCAAATTTTCCAAATTCAAGATGTAGTCAGTAATTTTCACCTCCATCCTAACAACCATTCTAATCTCTCTTGGTTAATGGGAAAAATCATTATTTTGTTGTCCAAACAAAATAATTGTTGTCCAAACAAAATAAATCGTTCTCTCAATATTTTATTTTCCTTTTTCTGTATTACAATGGTTGGTCCTCATACCTTCCCAAGTCTACCTATACTTTACCCCATCTTAATCTACACACTCTGGCTTTCTCTCCCATTCTATTAAAAAAACAAAACAAAACAAAACAAATCCACTCTTCTAATTACAAAGCTCTAGCCACTTTACTAACTCAGAAGTCAGCTTTGGTAGATATGACTTGATAAATGACTAAATCTGATACTAATAATATAGAACCTGAAGGGTCAGTTGCTTAACAAAGATTAACCATCATTGTTAATACTTTTCATTAACAAAGAGAAACTACTTCTTGGATGCACAATATCAATAGAAACTAATTCTCCCCCAAGTACTGAGAATCAAACTCAGGACCTTGCACTTGCCAGGCACCTGCAGCGCCACTGAGCTACACCCCTGGCCCTGAAACAAATTCTACCAAACAATTTCAAAATATTATAGAATTACATTAAGGCATTTAATTCAGACTTGTTCAGAAGAGAATGTTAATCATCCATTCACTAAAGCAGTTTCACTGTCATATTTACTTTCCCCCAAAACCATTAAAAATAGTGAGCCTGACCACACAGTGAATGGATGTGTGCATCAATGAATAAATAAATAGCTAAAAAATTAAAAATTGAATGTGCCATCCAAGCTTGAGACAAAAGACATATTCTAACATGTTAAAGCTCCATGTTTTTCGGTACGAGGCATGGAATAGCCACTAAAATATTTTTCAGTGAATGGAAGGCAAATCTATGTATCTTTCTAAAATTGATATATACTTTCTAATCTTCCAGTTAAAACAGGTACTCTCTTTCATGAATTGCATAAAAATAAATCATTATTCTCCACAGAGTATCTTTCCTTGCTGTCCTAAACCTTCATTACCTACTCCTCTTTTACTTGCTCAATCTGAGTCAATGACTAAATTTGGGGACTCCACTGGGAGATAAAGTCTAAAGGAAATAGCTGAGAGATTCCATTCAGGAGATCATAATTTCTTGTGAGAAAGAACTCACTGTCATTCCTCAAGACTTTACCCTCAGAGGGTAGTGAAATAATCAGGATATGTATATAGCTATCCAGCAGAATCTGGCATTGGCCTTGAACTATTTGGGCCAGCATAACAAATTATCACCGATTAGTATCCTGCAAACATCATAATTTGATTTCTTGTAGTTCTAGTTGCTGGAAATCCCAGGTAGGAAGAACTGTGAGATTTGGTGTCTAGTGAGGGCCTGCTTTTCTTCTTGTTGTGTCTAATGGTGGAAAGGAGTCATACAACTCTGTGAAGTATTTTTAATAAAGATGCATTCCTTAGAGCTCTATTTTACCAATCTAATCACCACCCGAAGACTCCATCTCTTAGTAAAAGGAGTATAAAATTTTGATATATATTTTTTTTTTGAGGAGAAAACTTGTTCAGACCCATAGAGTATTTAAAGCAAGCTTGACTGAATTAGTAGTGCAAATATATAAATATTGAAAGCAAAAGTAACAAAATCATTAAAATCTGACATTAAATTTATAATTTTATGTGTGAACAAAAAATTCACATATGAGCAAAAAACACCAATTGAAAACACAGAGAAAGGAATGTGAATAATTATCCATATGTCACCCTTCTATCACATTTATGGGAATCATATGAAATGTAACTAGGGGGAAATCATGCAATTAAAGTCATCGCGCAAGCTGAAATGGACAAGAATTGCCAACACTGCTGAACTGAGGAGGAGTCACCTTGGGGATACTCAGAGAATCAACTAAAAACGCAGGGAACTGGAAGAAAGGGAGGAACATACATCCTGATGCCAGAATCAACGAAATAAAAGACTCGTGGGTCAAACAACCCATAGACTTAGGAGTTTATGAGAAGGGGAAGCAGTGCACTGGCTTCCAGTGGGATTTCTGCCTGTGCCTAGAGCAGGAACTGCCACGCCCGGAAGTTCTCAGAACGCTGGCGGAAACCCCCTACTCGTGTGACAGAATGAAATGCATCATAGTATGCAACTATGACTAGATGGAGAAACTACTCAAAGGAATGTGAACAAAAGTTCCAAAGAAGCGAGGAATATGCATAATATTAGGTACTCTGAGTTCCTGGATCACCCTACTGTAGGAGCAGGAGTATTAATCTTAATAACTTTTCCATAAGTGTCACTAAATTTGGACCCTTTACTTAAGGTATTATAATTCCTTAGTTGATTGTAATGCATACTGCTGAGCACTGGAAATAATCTCTCCAAATTTTCAATGGTTGAAATTAGAGCCAAAGTGAATTGCAGCAAGAAATATTTAATTATTTATAAATATTTTGATTTTTCATAGAAGGGAGAAGTCCATGAATTTCAATGTTTTATACTTTCAGGTTATTATTATTATTATTGTTATTATTATTATTATTATTGTTATTTTGGTTTTCTGAGACAGGGTCTCATTATGTAGTTGAGACTGACCTGGACCTAACTATGTAGCCCAGGCTGGTCTCTAACTTACAGTGATTCTCCTGCCTCAGCCTCCTGAGTGCTGGGATTACAAGCATGCAGTTCCATGCCCAGTTCAGGTAAATATTTTTATAATGCAAATAGTCTACAAAAAATCTGAACAAAAAACTCTCACTTTGTTAAATTATGAATCCTCAAGTCAAGTATGAAATGTAGGTAACCTCTGAAAAGATTCAATATAATAATATTGAAAAGCAACAAAGCCTGAGTAGTACCCTACTGTATTCTATATTTTTTACTTATATCCCATATAATTTTTAAAATACTATTATAGATGTTATAATATTTGTTATGCATATAAGAAAAGTAAAGTAGGGAGAATGTACTCCTTCTAGTTCAGTCTGTGATGGGGTAAGTTAGAGACTAGACTACCTGCCCTCAGATTCCTCACAGCATGTGTGGTTGGAGTAGGAATACTGCTGCCATCTGGCCCAAGGCCCAGGATTTGTCTTCATGTTTGTTCCTGAAATGTTGAGTATGCCTGGGGTGGTTGAGCATAGACCATGTCTACTGACATGAAATGGTTAGGCTTCTCTGCAAGCTATTCAGAAAGGGAGAAATACTTGATGGTGCACTGATGTTAAAGCTACAAGTGAGAGAGAAAGAAAACAGCTGAAGACAAGATAGTAGGTATTCTCCTAACCTGGGTCACAGATAATTTCTACAAAATCAGGATTTTCAAGTCCAAGTGCATTTGCACTACGAAAACACTTACCAGTGGTTCTAAAAACCCTTTTAAAAGGTGCAAAGTAAAAGTAACAGGATTGAATCCAATGGACTTTTTTACATATACCCAATGTATTATTTCAATTATACAGGGATTAAATTAGATAGTGATGTATTATTTAAACTACATAAGGACAGCAAATTTAGTATTCATTTTTGAGGTTTTTTAAAACTAATTACTTTTTTAATTGATATACGTTTTCATGAATGTTATTTTTGTTGCTGGAGGTACTGAGGCTTTAATTATCCAATGAGCCAGCGTATGTTGATATGCACACAACCATAGATTAGAGATTTTTCAAGACTGATCTCTTGGTAATGTATCATATGTAATATCTTGACTTGGTCTTAATATCCATTTGTTGGCTTTTCAACTTTTAATGGAAAAATCACTCTCTATTTAGTATTTTGCAGGTTATTTGTGAAACCATAAAAAGTGTACGGATGCATATTTGCATATTTGTGGTCTATATCTTTGAAATTGCTAGGCTTCGAGACATTTATATGCTGTAGTTAAAATATGGATCTTCCATAGCCCCATCGCTAAAGGAGGCATTTTCCTCCAAAAATTGCTTGTAGACAGTAATACTTCATTGGTATCTGCTTTATATGGGTTTGGGTAAAATGTACATTGAAAATTGTAAAAGTCATAAAGAAAGTGTAATAAAATCATCATTTATTTTTAAATTAGGATGGCATCATCATATAAAACCAGGTATATCCACTGGTAGTATAAGTCTTACAACATTAAAAATGTCTATAGTGGTAGACTTCATGCCACGCATATATGAGGCTTTGGGTTTGATCCCAGTTACCATAAAAAAAGAAGAAAATCCACGTACATTTGTATTAGCTGTCTGCTATTTCACAACAAACTAATCCGAAACTAAAGTGACTAAAGTAACAGTAATTATTTATTACCTCCAAGAGCGTGTGTCAGTAATTTTAAGGAGACATTCTGGGGATCATTTCACTGGATCTGTCCTTTTCACAGCTTCATCTGGAAGAGCTGAAGTTGGGGGAACTGAAGTCACCTGACAGGACTGGCTTCCCTTACCCTGAAATATCCACCTCCAAGTTGACTCAAAAGAACAAGGTGAAAGCAGTAATTTCTCTCATGCCCTAGCTTCAGATCGATACTTTACACCATCACTTAGTCAATATTCATTTATAAATGGGGCACTAATCGACTTCCCATCTCAAGGGCCAGGTCTTTGGGTAAGGAATGCTGAACTCTTCTCATACAAAGCTGATGTCCAAACCTCAGCACTGAATGACTTGACTCAGCTGCTAAGTGGCTTAGAGAAGCACAAAGCTGTGTGTTATGATGATCCTAGACCCCTCCAGGTGCCTGCCTTAGAAAGCTTGAGGTTGACAGAAAAATTAATTATTTTTAAATTTTCTACTGTCAACACGTATCTCATAATGGACCCATACATAACTGCCTTTCTTTGAATGTTTAGCATAAAAAGCTATGGCTGTAAATATATATATTTCTAACGACGCATGAGCATTTGTTTCAGGAACCCAAGCATAATAATACCTTTGGATTTTAAAGGACTTACTCTATGTCTCCCAGTTTTGATAGTAGGATTTTAAATAACTTATCTTAAACAACTGCGAGCTAGCATCAGGCCCAATCACATTTATACTGACCAATAACCTTTGGTATTTCCTCACTTATCTGAATTGACAGAGTCTCTGACTTCCCATATTCTTATTCACCTTATAAAATACCCAAATTACCAGTGCACAAATCACAGATTAGGAAAGAGTTCAGATCTTTTCCTTGAAGTCATTAGCTAATGAATAAAGATGGTTTTTTTTTACAACTTCATCTAACATCTGACTGTGTTGATCTTTGACAAGGTGAGCTATGTCAAAGTACTGAAAATGACTATCAAATACTCAAATATTTGGCATATTGAACTTCTTGTTTCTTTTGGTTTAGTTTTAGTGCTTAGGAATTTTCCATTTATATAGGAAAATGAACTCCCAAAGTGAGTTTGATGTAGAGGTCATCCCTGAGGAAGTGATTACTGCACTCTCAAAACATAAGCCGACTAGTTCCTGGGAGCCCGTAAAAAGTACCCAGGAAAACTTGCACTCACACTTGCAGACAATTACAAATAAAATTTGAAAATATGACCTTATATTCTGGAAGTTGCATATGTCATTGGAAGGAGTTAGTAAAATCTGTTTACTGTTATTAGGAGCATAATTTGAATCATAAACTGTTGAAATGATTGCACTCTGTTTATTCATATCAAGGACAATTTCCAGAAACTGACTATGAAGAATGAATATTTCATATAAAAAGCATAATAATGGTAACATATGGAAGTCGATACTTTGAGAAAGAAAAATAACTAATAAAGCTGAATAAAGTAAAGATTTGTGATCCCAGATATTAAAATTCAGACAACTATTCAGATTAAAACCATAGCAAAATTTGTAGTTAAGATAGTTCCAGTTGTCAGCCTGATGTTCTGAATAGACTGCACAGATTTTGGTGCTCTCCAGTACATGTTTAATTTCTTAAGTTTTTTGGAGGCATCTGAAACTTCCATTTCTGTGTTTTGAAATAACTTGCTGCTTTCTTATTTGATTTCTTTACACTTCAAACTGAAGTGATTCTGAGAGCTGGATTCTCTGAGCAGCATGGCACTCTCTTCCTGGTGAGAGACCCCTGGCTACAGGACCACATGGAGAAGCAGAAGAGAAACCAGCCGTGTGCAAGAGTATACATAGTACCAAGGAAGCAAGAGACTGGATACACGTTCACTCTTCTTACACCAATGTCTTCTCTTGGAAACGAACTCATTCCTTTCAAATCTATTCACACACCTGAGATTGGTTAATACGTTCCAGAGAGCAGAGCACTCATGATGTAACCACTGCCCATTGGCACTTCCTATCAAAGATTTCTACCACCTTAAAATCATTATCCTAGCACATGAACCTCTGAAGGACAAACCGCATTTACCCCATTGCACTCATTAAGTCAAAGTAAACAAAGTTTCACAAATGATTACTTTGGATTGGTACAGTTTATTATGCTTTGACATGACGGAAAGGAAATTGAAATCCTAGAGCTGAATATATGCTTTATGCAGGTTAGAGGCTGGATGCGTGGATTGAAGAGAAAGCAAAAATGGGAACATGGAGTTACAAGATGTAATATGCTCTGGATTAACTTGAAAACAGTGTTTTATCCGGAGAGAATATAAGAGAAAAAAAATCTTTCATAGAGGATTTTACTGGAAAGTTTCATTAAGTGCAAAGTATTATAGGCATTTAAAATAGAGAAATTAGTAGGTAGTCAGATAGGGATAGTCCTTTGAGAGAGCCAGTGTAAAAGATGAGAACACATCAAAACTGTGACTGGAGGCATATCTGATGAAGGGTAGACCTTCAGGTAAAGATGCAATGACCAGGCCTCCCTGAGGGATAAACAATAACATGATATTGTACTGTGATGGGTATCACCTGGTCTAGTAAAGTCCAGATTGGCATCAATCACATGGGTAGACCCACTACTTCCCCCAAATGCCTTTTATACTTTCCATGAACCCTTGCTCTGTGACTTGTTTCCCTGTGGATCAATATTAGATAAGTGGCCATACTTGTAGTCCTATAGTAGACAGTTGTATGACCCACTCTGTACCCACATTTTGATTTTGCTGTATGAATTAGCCCTGATAAAGAGCATCAGTGACAACTCACTTTTGAAAGCCTTCCTGTCTCTCAGAAGCTCTCTCAAAAAAATCCTACTCTTAAATTCTGTTATCTCTTAGAATTCATTGTTCAATTTCTAAGGGTATGTGACATCTACAAGGTTGGGAATAATAATTCTTCCTAAAAAAATTCAAAATAATTCAAATAATTCACTGAAAATAATTATTTTCTTCTATTTTATTTTTCTCGCTTTCTTTTCGCTTCCTTTTTTTTTTGTTGATCTGTATAAGCTTTGTGATCTGCTGCCTGAGCAATTTCCTTTTATTCATTAATTAATGTCTAATGCTTCCAAAAAGATATATTGCATTTTTAAGATGGCAAGCTTTTTTTGAGTTTCGTAATCACTGCCTAAAAGAGCACATTTCCTTAAATCTGTCCTTAAGAAATTACGTCCTCACAGAAAGGGACATTTTGCCAAATGATAATTTTAAAGGTATCTGAAACTCCATGACATATCCTACGTACCATTTTAATAACAAGTCTAGAGGTCACTAAGCAATAAAGGTTCATTCCCACTGAAATTTCATGCACATGAACAAAAGCAAAAATAAAACAGACTGTTTAACATCAAATAGGAAAGACAACATTTAACTTAGGATATGAAGATTCTAAGTTTTATAGAATCTAGATATAAATAAAAGAGAAAAGAAGGAAAACTATTATTGCAAAGTGCAATTAACAAAGTTTTTGGATCGACACAGTGTGTGAATATGGTTTTCTAAACCTGTAATCCCCCCATGCACTCACCGTGCACTCCATTATCGATGGGAAGAAAATATTTTCAACTTTCACAGGGTTTTTTATGGGAAAACTTACCTGTTAATATAAGAATCTAAAAATAGTATTCTGCAGACTTAGAAAATTCGCTTTCCTACATGAGAACCCTGTGCCAATTGACTTAAGAAATACTCTATAAATCAAAGGAATCAAAAATGGTATAGAATTGTAGAAAAGAAACATATAGACAAATAGCAAAATAACCTAGAAATTAACAAATGCACCTACAGCCAACTCTTCTCTGAAAAGACAGTCTCTTTAATAATTAGTGCTGGAAAAAATGGATACCCACTTTGAGAAAAATGAAATTGTACTCGACTCTTATTGATTGCAAAAATAAACTCAAAATGTGCAGTGATTTAAATGCAGGGCATGAAACTATGAAATGGATGGAAAAAGAAGCATAAAATAAACAATAACATAAAATGGATAAGGATTTTAAATAAGACCCCAGAAACAAAATATAAAACAACTAAGAAAAACAAAAACAACAACAAAAAACAAGTAAGGAATGTGCCAAAGGCAGAGGGATGAGATCACTCAAGCAGGCTGGTGGAAGAACAGGAGGCACAGACTTTATTCTCCTGGGTGCAGCTTGATTGAGGGTGACAAGGCTGGGGATTTCACAGGTCGGACACATCTGTCCAGTACAGGGGTCAGAGCAAATATTTATGGCCTGGGGTCTTACAGCAGTCTAGACAGAAGTATGGATGTTTAGTACCAAGTGACTTGGTGGTGGGAAGGTGTGCTGTGCTTTGTAGCCTAAACTGTCTTTTCCATAACAGCTTGCTCTGTGTTCTATCTGCCAGGAGTCCGAACGGCCTGCATCTGGTCTTTGATCATCGAAAGGAGCGGCATTTTTTGCCAAGGGCTGCTGTTTTTGTATCTGCTAAAACTGTAACATGGAATTAAACAACATATTTATTCACCAGGCCATGGCCAGATCGGGCCTGCCAATGAATAGGATTGCACCAAACTAAAAAGCATTCTACAAAGCACGGGAAACATTCAAGAGTGAAGAAGCAATCTACAGAATGGGATAAAATATTTACAAACCAATCTTTCTAGAGGTTGGAATCTAGAATGTATAAAAAGTAAACTGAACAACAAAAGTAAATAAAGGGATCATCATCATCCTCATCAATCATCATCCAGTTAAAAATAATTCTCCTAAACAGTAGTCCTAAATAGACATTTTTCAAAACAAGACATATAGATGGCCAATAAGTACATGAAAGAGTGCTCACCATCACTAAGCCCCGGGGAAATGCAAATAAAAACTATGATGAGATATCATCTCACTCCAGTTACCACTGCTCCTATCAAAAAAACAAACACAAAAAAAAATCAGGGTTAGAGTGGATGCGCATAAGGAAGGAAACCTCACACTCTCTTGGTGGGATGTAATTAACACATTTGTTATCCAAAAAACAGCACAGAATTTCCTCAAAAATTCAAAACAGAACTACTAAATAACCTAGCAAATTCACAACTTGGTTTGTCTATAAAGGAAATGAAGCCAGGGTGTTGCAGAACATGTACCCGCCAAACTTCACTGCAGCACTGTTCACAAAAAGGGGAAAAGATCCGTGTGCCCATCCATTGATGGGTACATAAACAGGCGTTCGTATAAAAAGTGGAATACCATTCCACCACAAATAGAGGGAATCCTGCATTTATCACAGTGTGCACGCAACTGGGTCATTGTGTCACACCAAATAAAATGGGCACGGAAAGACGGCAATGCATTATTTCAATCTATTAAGTTGATCTCGTAGGAATTGAGAGCAACACAGTACTTGCCACACAGTACTTGTGGGGAATGGGGTGGATGATAAGGGAATGTGGGTGCTGGATGTTTAATTACAGTCACAATGAATGAACAAATAAACAAATTGTAGGGCTAACTTCCCCAGTATGGTGACGAGATACTAACAGAATATTCAGGGTTGGAGATTTAGCTCAGTGGTTCTGCTGCCTGCCTCACAAGCACAAGGACCTGAGTTCGATCCCCAGTACCCCACAAAAAAATTATATTCAAAGAAGCCAGAGGAAAGGATTTTAAATAACTTGAGCAAGAGAAGAAATAATTGAGGAAATAGGTTTGTTTAATTTGATTTCAAGATTGCACAATGTATGCATCTCTCAAAATATTACATGGTATTCCATAATTAATATTTTTGGAGATACTACGGATAATCCCGGCTGGACGTTCTATGGATGGAGCCCAGGGCCTTCTCACTGAGCTACAACCCCAGGCCTTGTTTATTCTTGTTTTATTTTGAGACAGTCTCTCACCCTTGTTAGTTGTTATGCTACACAGACTGGGTTCGAACATGAAATCTTTCTGCCTTAGGCTTCTATATTGCTGAGGTTATAGGAATGGGACACTACATCAAGCTACATGAGTAAAAACTTTTTGTGATAGCTGAAAATTTTTAAAAATGAAGTATTTCCTGGAGAACAAGAAATGTTTGTAATAAATGAGAATATTGACCAAATAAAATGACATAATTAATTAGTCTTTCTAAAAGTCTGTTTTTATGTCTTGGAGAAAAACATAATTTTTTCTCTTGACAAATACTTAACAATTTTAAAGCTATTCCATCAAATAAAACATTCTGAAAACTCAGCTTTTACTTCTGAAATATATTTTGCCATTTTAGATTCTGTGTTACTACAAATATACTACAGTTACCATTTAAGAGCCAAATATAACTAAGGCTGCCTTTCCTCCATAATAATACCCCTCCACATTTGGTGGAAACAAAGCCAAATTAGCACAGACAAATTAGTTTGAATTATCAATAACACTCATTTAAAAATACAGATACTTGATTATGTGCAGGTTGATAGAGTCAAAATATTTTGAACATTTCTCTATCTCGATTTGAAACTATATTTTCGTTTGCACATGACACTCTGAAAACATCTTCATCACTGTTTCCTGTGAAACATGATAAGAGACACTTTCGCTATATTCAGGACTTAAATTGGACAGAGGGAAGCCAATTCATTTAGAATTAGATGGTTTCAGTCGGAAATGTGGCTATATTATTACAAGATATATGCATCTAAGCAAAATACCCTTTTTTATTCCATTTCCTTGAAGATAAAATGGAATGGCATAAACTTTAAAATTTTGTAATAATGTTAAATTGCTGCTATTAAAATGTCTGTAACCATGTAGGTAATGACCACGTTATTTGAATCTGAATTATCAAACTGCTTCAGTGACTGCGACATTCTCTTTCTGCAGAAAAAGTTCTATCCCATTGAGTAAATGACTTGACTTGTAAGTTTTTCAGAGTATCCATGTTATTAATTTCATTCTAATTACAGATTGTGAAACTTTAGCTTAACTCACTGACTTAGAAGAATTAATCCTTATCCATTTGATAGCACAGGAATTCCCGTTACCCTAATATTACACTTAGAGTTTGTCTTTCTATGTTTTATTCTATATTAT